CTATATATATTATTATAGACAAGACATTCCACTATTTATCCATGCAACAACCTCTTGAATGTTGATTGGTTTATAAAATTGCCAATAACGATTGCAGAACTTTTGGTCAGACCTAAGTAAATTATAACAAAATTTGCCTAAAAAACAGACTTTACAGAAATCAACTTTAAGTTTTTTCTCATTTTATCTTACCATCTTGGCTAACATTTGGATGATAAATTGGAGTAAGAAAATATACTTCAGATGGATCGTATGGATAAGTTGATGTTATTTTCATTTTGATTTTAAATGAACCTTCTCTAAATACTTCTGAGTCTGGAAATATTCGTCCAACAATAACGATATCTTTTTTCTCCCGAGAAGCAACCATTTCTTCGTCATCACTATTTTCATCAAATGGTGACTTCTCAAGTACAAACTTGGGATTTGAAGTAGGTGTGTTTAATAGTTTGAGTCGAGTTATACTTGTGTATAGTTGCTTATTTAATTGTGGTGAAGGCATGCCTGATACAATTTAAGAGATTCGAATAACTTAGTAGATATGTCTAAACTAAAAATAAAAGAGTTGTTTTACAGATGCAATAGATGCGATGAAGAATGCCTGTAGATTTTATTGATAGACAAACTGCAAAATTTAAAATGCGTTTTTTAAATAAACTTACATTTTATTTGCTTCCTAGCTATCATGTGAAAAGATAAGAAAAAAAAAGAATGACTCATCAACCCAATTGTAATAATATTTTGTATATAGGTTATGTTCTATTTGGTTTTTGACTGAAATAGGTAAAGAAAACAACAATCATGACGATAAAAATAAAAATAGAAAAAAGATCATCCTGATTTTTGATACTAAGGACTATTTTGTTGATTGTTTTTTTACAAACTAAATCATTTGTCATTGCAATTTTACTGTACAAAAAAGGAAATCTATATATATAATGTTCAGTGTCTGTCTGTGCCGGGTTAAAGGTCAAAGGTCAAAGGTCAAAAAGACTGTAAGGGCTGCTCTTTTGGGAAACCCATAGATCCTCAAGAGCCATTATATGAGGGTACTCATAGGTCCTCAAGAGCTATTATATGAGGGTACTCATA